GCCCACTGTTGTGCGGCCTGTTGTGTGGGCTGCTGCCTATGACTGCGCCGCGGTGCCTTGCCGGATGGTGTGACCATAACAGACAGTGTTCATTATCCTCTAGCTTGAACTAAGTTGTAGCAATGCAACAAGTTCGGGCTCCTCCGCCCAAACCCCATATACTACCATGTGGCATTCCCTGGAATTTGTTTCGCGAACTCCAGCGGAATACGTCCGAAGAGACTATTGTATGAGAAATTCAGCGTATGCTGCTTCTATCAAAATCTAGTGGCAACAACCCGCTAATCAAATTGGAAGACAGATCTAAGACTTGAATGGTTTTGAAACCACTAGAAACATCACCCTGTATTAGGGATTCAAGTAATGTATGTTGTTTCCACCAAAATCGGGCGGCAACAACCCGTTAATCAAATTGGAAGACAGATCTAAGACTTGATTTTCTTTTATGGCAAGACTTGAATGGTTTTGAATTCCCGGAGAGGTTGAGGAATTCAAGACTGTAACGTGCTGGAGATCAGAGTTTAAATATTTGAGTTTCATTTAATTTGTTGTGATACAAAGCCAATGAATTTATATTTTATAATCAGCCTGATATCGGAGGTGGGGGCATTTTTATCCTTTTTCATAATTATTACATCCGCTAACACTTTTAGACCAATTTGACACTTTCTAAAACAGCGACTCAGTGACACATTTAAAAGTTTGAATACTAATTTGACACCACCAAAGTTCAAGGTACTAAAATGAAAATTCCAGCCGTTGCCAAGTTTGCATAATGTGCCCCCTACTGCATCTACTCTCTATGCATGCGAGTTGTTTGAAAGAGAAACATCCTTGAAGCCCAAACCTCCGAGTCCTCCGCCATTTGGATGGATTGGCAACTTTTGAGGTAAAAAATATTAGATTTATCATCTCTTATCCACCAGAATTCTATTGTTAAAGCATTTAATTGTTTTTTTTTTCGGCACAGATGACACAAACATATTTATCCTTGCCATTCATCATAGGGACGCCCCTGAGCTAATAAGCTAGTCGTCCTAATACGCCGCGGATGGGTATCAGAAGTAAGCTAATTCCCCGACCTTTTGAGCAAACCAACCACATCCACAAAATTGAGATTGAGACAGGATATCTTTTATGCCATCTATCTCTGCAACAATACTAGCTCCACTATAATTATACCATAATTCATAAGCAAACAATAGATCATTTATCTTGCAAAATGGGTCAAACTTGAACTCCTTCAAACTCCTGTCCTGTCGCCTGTGTGCACAGCACAATGTAAAATAAGGCAAAAATTGGAACCCTGGCTGATAGAGGAGACCACATTGGGGGTGTAATAGGGGAGGTAATTGAACCATTAATCAACATGGAAACGGAAGAATAAGAAATGTAACTTTCGATAATATCACAAAACATGTTAGATAGATGGATACATATGCTCGGTAGATGTTCAGGAGTAATGTTCCCTTGCCTAAATCCCCATAAATAACACATCACGCCTATATCATGCAAAATGGCTGTTGATAACAGGCCTAAAAATGATGGTTGCTGTGAAGTAACTAGCATACGGCATACCTCCTTGACGATGGTAATTATGAAAATGGCAAGGCTGAAATGATGGCATACATTTTCTTTCCAATTTCAACAAACTCTTACCTACATTGCGAGTTGTATCAATCATTGATTTCGCAAAAAAGCTTTCACTCGTTGAGCCAACCAGATGAATTGTGATGAGAGAAAGGGTGCTGTGGACCAGGAGCAAAGCCTAATGAGTCAGCACGGAAACTGGGCCTGGATCCCGGCAGATCATATACACCACTTCTACCCACCAGAGGAATCTCAGGCCCAAAATTACCAATTCTTGTATGATTCAACTCATCAAGGCGGGGCATATACCGCTGTGTTGCTGGCAGGTTCATTCTTTGGTAGGACGACTCACCCGATGCACCCATGATGCCATATGGAGCTGAAGAAAGTGAACCTATTCCACCTAGCATAGAATCTTGACCACCCAGATAGCTGCTTCTGTGAGACAAACTATCAAAATCTTGTCGCCCATAATGGAGCTGCATCCTGACATCTTCTCTCCTGTACTTCTCTTCCAACTCATCGAAGTAAGGTTTATGACTTAAAGCCTCCATGTTATCCTGAATGCGCCCAGGAAATTGTTCACCCAAACCCCTGACCTCTTGACCAAGATTAGATCCAGCCATCCAATTATGGTTTCCACCTACAAATGGGTCACCTCTGTTTGAACTGTACCTTCTTTCTATTTCCTCAATATCTACATCAGGAATACTAGTTGGAGTTCCCCTGTATCCTACACCAAACTCTGGAGTGGATACAGGAAGGGTAGTTTGGAAGTGCCTGGAGCCTTCTTCATTGGCTACCCTCTCTGGAGAAATCTCAAGGGTTTCAGAGGGCTGACCTTCCTCCGAGTTTCTAGGATCTGTTCTCTTACCCTGAGGACTACCCATCTCAGATGTTTCCTTGTATGCCTTGCTTGTATGAGGCCTACCTTCATCATACTTCCTCTCAGGTGATGTATCAATCTTAACCTTTGATTTCTTACCAAGATCCCGCCTCTCCTTTGGACTCTCTCGGGACCGTTTCTTCCTACGCCCATGATGCTTGCGGCTTTCTGTCTCAGAATCGTCGCACAAATCTTGGTTGGCTCCAATGTTACATTCAACAGGGGAGCTTCCCCTCATCTCTTGAGGAATAACTGTTCTAGTTTCTTCATCCTCCGTTTCAGCATTTTGTTCAGCAACATCATTTATTTCTCTAGAGATACCATTAACTTCATTATTTGTCTTTGAAATATCATTGTAGTAGTCGTGATTCTTCTCCTTTGGATGCTCTGAAACCTGTGATTCATCATGGTTCTCATCCATATGTAATTCTCTCTGTTTTGTGGATGTGTGACCATGCTTTTCGGCAATGTTCATGTGCTTGGATGTCCAATCAGGGCGGCTCCAAAGATAAAGAACTGGAGTTGTAGTGTTCCATTGATCTATTTGCTTGTAATTCACATCGATAGATCCAGGTAGGTAGAAAGACTGGAAGGGAAGAAATTGATAATGTGAAGCAACAAAAACAGATCCACCTTGTAGTGGATTAAAATCAACTAGAATCAAGTATACATGCTTGGCTCCTTAAATATACCTTGCCAGAAAGTTTCTCAACATCCTCCCAAATCAAATCATATGGTGTCCTCTTTTTGCCCGGCCTGGAAAAATCAAATAATTGAGAAGGGAACATATGATGCATGGAGGAAAAAAGCCATTTTCTACCTTTCTGTTTCTGGTGGAACAATAAGAACGAGAAGCTTTGGTTTGAACTCAAGAGCCTTATCAATGAACTTGTTTGCAAGTGCTGCTTTAACTCCAAACGGGGGATTGAGCCCCATGATCTACTCAAAAGAAAAAATAAAAGAATAGTCACATATGGGTAAAACTTGGAAAACATCCAAATCTGTTTACAGATTCAGAAGATATTAGTTCATATCAGCATTTGATAAGGAAAAGAAAAGGCCTTTTCTTACCAACTGAGACCCTGTGGGCAATTCACTTGGCCGGACAGTCATCCAATCTCTCCTCTCAAAATTGAAATCGTTCTGTAAAAGGATCCATTAATACCCTAATACAATGTGCCCCAATAGAATTTGAATGTTCCCCCCAAAATAAAAACACATCAAGTACTGAAATTCGCATCCACCTACTAGTCATGTTTGTTTTTAAATAAAGGTCCACATTATAAAAATGCAAACTACTGTGGAAAATATAGAATTATCTACAGTCTTGCTGATATGAACTAACTGCCTATATCCATACTGGCATTTCTTTCTGGGAATGCAAAGAAAACACAAACTAATGACAAATCAAATAAGTATTATTGGTTTATACTTTATACTTTATAAGCCTAGGATGCAGCATCATGACTATAACTAGGAACAACAAGGGTCAAATAAGACGGGTCCACAATATAGAAATGCAAAGAAACTACAATGATTTTCTCAAGAACTGGTGGCTGAAGGGATTGTTTTTTGAAGCCATGGCTGAAGGGATTGGGTCAAGAAGGTTCTATCATCATTGATAAAAAATAAAGAAGGTTCTATCGTCTAGAAGACAGTTGCTCATGGGCTGAAATCGATTCTAGAGGGAAGAATTTTGTCTTGGGTTGGGGTTCATGGGCTGTTCAAAGACAAGTCTTATGATACTCCTTTGACAATGATGCTCTTTTTGACAATGATACTAACATTGCACAGATAGTTGGTGTACATGGGTCTTGTATCTCGGTTTTATTTAACGGATATACTTTACCTTTTTCCAAAAAAAATATTTAAATTGCCTTCTAAACATTGAAGGTATCACATTAGAATCAGTGACTGTGTTAAACCTACCTGCAATCATTATGCTAAAAAATGTAGAGCAGAAACAGAATGTCCCTGGTCCAGCACCAGCTTCAGCCCAACCAGCTCAATACCAGCCCAGAGTGACCACAGTCCAGAAATCACCCAACTATATATATATATATATATATCAGAAACTGGAAGCCAACCCCAACGGTGTTACCCTATAAGAAGTTAATATGGAATGAAATGCAAGCCCGTCGCAAAAAGGGACTATGCTATAATTGTGACGAAAAATTTTCTGTGGGATATCAATGCAAGACCCAACAAACTTGCCTACAGAAAGTTGATGATCCCATTGAAGAGGTCCCCAGTGAAGAACTCAAGTCACTTCAGCTGTAGAAGGTGATTCTGCCCCAACAGAGTACCATGAAATTTCATTGTGGGCCTTGACAGGGGGTGAACGCACACCATATCATGCGGGTAATTCCTTCACAAGACAGTGGCAGCTCACTTAATTTTATCACCAAGGTGCCTGCCAAGCAATTGGGCTTAGCCAAGCAGCCCATCAATTCATTCACAGTACATGTCGCTAATGGGCACCTCATAACTTGTGAAGGAATATGCAAGTCTATGGAGTTGAAGCTTCAGTGCCACCTCTTCTGTGTTGATTCACCCCCCCCCCCACCCCGGACTTCTCAGGTGCATACATAGTGTGTTGGAGATCCAGTGGCTCAGCTTGGGCTGGTTACTTGTGACTCGGCCCCATTTAACCATCAACTTCATGAGGGGGGCAAACAATGTCCTTGTAAAAAGCTGTCAACACATGGATACCTACTTGCTCATGTACCTGGATTCACTACCCTCCACTCCCACTTTGTCGGCCCATGCCATTGTAAGTAAACCGACTGGGGGTACAGCCCAATTACAGCAAGTTTTGCAACTATACCAGAACGCATTTCTTGAGCCCAATACCCTACCATCTGCGAGGGCCCACGACCACCAAATTACCATCCAACTAGGAGCCCCACCAGCTAACTTGAGACCACATATGTACCCCCAATATTAGCATGTGGAGACTGAAAAGAGGCACGTTGCTTAAAAAGGGACTGATTCAGCCCGTTAACAGTCCATATTCTTCACCAGTGTCATTGATCAAGCTCATCAAAGAAAAAGAGTTCATGGAGGTTTTGTGTGGATAACCACTCATTGAACCACATCACAATGAAGGAACATTTCCCAATTCCTCTGATTGACGAACTATTTGATGAGTTGGGCTAGGCCCAAGTTCACAGATGAGATAGATGTCTCAGGAAACGGTGTGGGAGCTGTTCTTATGCAAACATGGGCAACCTATTGCTTTCAGCAAGGGTTTAAGTCCACAGGCCCAGTTGAAGACCACATATGAGAAGCAACTTATTGTCATCACACTAGCAGTCCAGAAACAGAGACCCTATCTTCTTGGGAGCGCGTTCATTGTAAGAGCAAACCATCTCAGCATCAAATATCTACTAGACCAACTATTTTAAGCCCAAAGCAGAAGAGTTGGTTTACAAGTTATTGGGCTTCTAATGCAGTAGCAGATGCCTTGTCAAGGGCAGAAGAATTTCAGATGATGGTTATCTCAACACTTTATTTTCCTCTATGTCCAGCTACGGGTTGGGGCCAAAGAGGATCCAGAACTGAACCAACTCTATGACCATTGGCTTCAAGACCCATCCCAGGCACCTGGCTACACAGTGCAAGGCTCTGTTCTGTTTTACCAACAAATCTGCCTACCATCTAGAGCTACTCAAGCTCTTCCATGATTCAGCTCAAGCAAGGCATTCAGGGGTACTTTGCACAAACAAGAGGCTAGTAAGTTGGTTCTATTGGAAGGGGATGAGAAGAATGGTGCACAATTATGTTGCTCGCCAGTTGCTGTACCACCTGTCAACAACAGAAGTATAGTACCCAGTTTCCAGCAGGGTTGTTGTAGCCACTTGTTGTAGTAGACCGGCAAAGCAAATATGACCATTTTAAAGTCTTGCCACACCCCTACACTGCAGCCACCATAGCCAGAGCTTACATCCAGGAGATTGCCAAACTCCATGGTACACCAATTCTTTACTTACAACTAGAGATCCCTTGTTTATGGGTAACTTCTGGGAATGAATACTTCAAGGCTCAAGTGGTGCAACTGTTGCATTCCACAAGCTACCATCCTCCAACAAATGGTTAATCTGAAGTCATTAATAGGTGCCTGGAGACCTACTATTGGTGTTTAATTGGGGAGAGGCCAAAACAGCGGACACTGTGGTTGCCTTAGGCAATGTATTGGCACAATACAACATACCATGTATCAATTGGAACATCACCCCTCATGGCCTTGTATGGGAGGGAACCATCACCTCTCTTGCCTCATGAGAGAGGATCTTCGGCTACTGCTGAAGTAGACAACCAATTGTCATCTCCAGATGATATCCTTAAGTCCCTGAAGTTGCACTTAAAGCAGCCTCAGCAACAGATGATAAAAAGCACAGGCAGCTGGAACTCACAGTAGGAGATCATGTTTATTTGAAGCTTCAGCCTTACCGCCAATCTTCCTTGGCTCGACGGGACTGGCAAAAATTGGCTCCAAGATATTTTGGGTCATCCCAAATAGTAGAAACTAGAAAGGGTGGGAGAGCCTATGTACCAACTGCAGCTGCCAGCAGAGTCTAAACTCCATCTGGGTATCCAGTGCAAACCGACCATGGAACCACTTGAGGAACAGCTCCCCCCAGCTGCACAGGTGGACACTGTACCTGAACCTGAACCATCAGGGTTTGTCTTTGGAGTAATCGGTGAAAACCAGATTCAAGATCAGGGAGTTTCTTCCCCCCTTTCTCTCAATCCAGTTCTTCGTCCCCACTTTACTGTCAAAACTCATTTGGTATTGATCCTTGTAGTAACCTTCAGCCTTTGGATTTTGCAGTTCCAGCTGTTGAAACTTCACCGGTGGCGGATAATGACCCATGTGCGATAGTAAAAGAAGGTGGGGGAGGAGGAAGACAACGAGGAGAAATTGATTTATGTGATGGAGTTGGAGAAGGATGCTGGGGGAAATGAAGTTGTTGTAGGTACTCATGAGAAGGAAAAGGAAGTCTGCTGGTTAAATGAGGGAGAAAATGGTTGTAGAGAGACCCCCAAAGTAAAAGGAGAGGAACAAAAAAATAGCCAAAAGGAAGTTCGCCAAAGGGAAGGTCTATCTTGGAAAGGAGGCAGAAGATGTAAAAAAAACAAAGAGGAGAATGAATGAGGTGGAAAGGCTAGCTTGTGGTGTTTCCTATGAGAAATCTGTAAACAGGAAAAGGGAGAAGAAAAGAGAAGGGTAGGAATTGGAAATGAGTTTGGGTCGAAAAAAAAAAGAGTGGAATGAAGGTGCTTTGTTGTAATGTAAGAGGTTTAGGAAGTGCAAAGAAAAGGAGAATCATCAGGAATGTGATAAGAAATGAGAGACTGGTTATAGTCATGATACAGGAGACAAAGCTTTCGAATTTGGACAGAAGGTGGATAAGAAGCATCTGAAGACCGGTCTAAGTTGGTCCTTTGCCCCGTCGTGGGGTGCCTCGGGTGGGATCCTTACAATGTGGAAGAATGAGGAACTTGACTATCAGGAGGAATTGATAGGACAATACTCAATATCAATAAAAGCAAAGAGGATGAGTGATGAAAGGAAGTGGGTGTTGACTAATGTGTATGGGCCGAATTCATATAGAGAGAGGAACACATTCTGGGAAGAGCTAGCTACAATCAGGGGCATTTGGGAGGGCCCGTGGTGTTTGGGTGGGGATTTCAATGTAATAAGATATACAAATGAGACAAATAACCCCAACCAGCCCTTAACAACTAGTATGAAACACTTCAATTCCTTGATTGAGTCCCTAGAACTAAAAGAACTTACCTTGTTACAAGCCTCTTTCACTTGGTCAAATCTCTAAGAAAATCAAGTGTGCTCAAAACTGGACAGATTCCTTTTCTCCATTGATTAGGAAGAGTTGTAGGGAACATCGACACTGAAAGCCCTACCTAAAGTGACATCTGATCATTGCCCCTTAAGCCTCTACCAAGAAAATCTTATTGGAGGCCCCACACCTTTTAGATTTGAAAACATGTGGCTAGAAGTTTCAAATTTTTTGCAAAAGGTAAAAGAATGGTGGTTAGAAGGTGGGATAAGGGCTAGAGATAAAGCTGTGAGGTTCTCCAAGAAACTGAAAAGATTGAAGGAAAAGGTCAAGGAGTGGAATAAAGAGGAATTTGGAAAACTTGAGGCCATAAAGGATGAATTAGCCAGGAAAATAGAGGAAGTGGACCAAAAGGAGGCTCGGAAAGAGATCCTAAGAAAAGAAGAGATTAAAAATCTAGATGTAAATGGCTTCTGAAGGGGGATGGAAATACCAGATTTTTCCACTCCCTAACAAACGGGAGAAGACGAAAAAACCAAATTTCTAGTATAGAGGTGGAGGGAAGAGTAGTAACTGCAAAAGAGGAAATTGAAAGATGCTCCGTGGATCATTTCAAGTCAATCCTAGCATCCTCTGATAAAAACATTGCAGAATTGGGAAATTTACAATGGGACAGAGCAGTGATTTAAAAAGCACGTCTAGGCGCATTTCAGGGTATGCGCCTCACCTAGGTCCTAGGCACAGAGGCAAGGCGCATTTCAGGGTACGCGCCTCGCCTAGGTCCTAAGCACAGCCCTTTCAAAAGGTGCACGCCTGGTGCGCCTAGGCGTGTGCCTTTTGAAATTTTGACGCTTTTTTGCTTTTTTTGAACATAGCATCTAGGCCGGGGGCTCCGCTCCAAGAACACCAAATTTGGTAATGTTGCTCATTCATTCATCCTAATAAAATGTCTTTTTAAAAAGCAATTAACACTATAAAATCATTATTTCTTGTGTGAAAACTAAGAATTTAAGACCTAACGTGGACTTGTTTGGGCTTGCCTCAAGGGGCATGGCACAATGGCGGCTCATAGAATTAGGAATGTAATATGTTTTACATTTACATTAGTTACTTGAAGTAATGCAATTGAGTGCAAAAAGAGATTAGAGGTTTTACATGCTTGAAAATGTTTTATAATGTTTGATTTTATTTTTAAATTCTCATTTGAATATGCTTTACATCTTATGTTTATGTATTTTAATTTTAGATAATAGGTTTTTAAAACATTTATTTTAAAATTTATATTTATATTTATATTTTTTATTAATATTATGTTTATTTTTTTGAATTTTTTAGCTTTTTCTATTTTCTGACATTTTTTTTATTTTTTAGCATTTTTTTGTATTTTTTGCGCCTTGCCTTGCACCTCAGGTGCAAATTGACCCCTGTGCCTTTTTTGCACCTTGCGCTTTTAAAACACTAGGACAGAGTGCCAAAATCTGAAATTAACCTCCTAGAAAGAGCTTTCACTATTGAGGAGATACATGAAGCAATATTCTTGATGGATAGATCTAAAGCTCCAGGGTCAGATTGATTTTCAATGGCTTTCTATCAAGATTGTTGGGAAATTTTGAAAGATGAATTAATGGATGTATTTGTGGAGTTCTATGAAGAAGGGAAATTATCGCCTAGAGCGAATGCAACCTTTATTGCTTTAGTGCCAAAAAAGGAGGCCAAAACCCCTAAGGATTACAGACCGATAAGTCTAGTGGGTAGCTTGTATAAAATCATTGTTAAAGTCCAGGCTGGTAGGTTGAAAACTGTATTACCCTATGTTATCTCTCAGAACCAAGGAGATTTTGTAGAAGGGAGACAAATTGTGGATCAAATCTTAGTGGCAAATGAGTGTTTGGCAGCTAAGAGAAAACAAGGTGGCAAAGGTTTGATTTGTAAATTTGACCTAGAAAAAGCTTATGATATGGTGGATTGGTCCTTCCTATTGAATTTAATGGAAAAGATGGGGCTATGGAGGATGTAGATTAAAGAATGTATTAGCTCAACACATTTTTCTATTCTAATGAATGGGGTGGTAGCAAAGGATTTCTTCCAGGCTAAAAGAGGACTAAGTAGGGTGATCCCTTATCCCCATTCTTATTCACCTTTGTGGCTGAGGTTTTGAGTAGACAAATCACCAAAGCTGATCAAGAAAACCAGTTTAAAGGTTGGAAGATGGGTAGATCAGAAGTGGTGAGGTCTCATTTGCAATTTGCTGATGACATAATCATTTCCTGTGAAAGTTGTGATGAATCCGGTTTAAGGAATCTGAAAAGATTGGTGGATGAATTTCAACAGGCCTCCAAACTGAAAGTCAATTGGGGAAAAAGATGTGTAGCTGGAATCAACATTGAAGGGGGGAGGGCATCCAAGCCATGGCAAATCTGCTAGGTTGTGAAGTGAAAAATTGGCCTCTGGAATACTCAGGTATGCCCTTGGGTGGGAATCCGAAAGCTGAAAGCTTATGGAAACCGGTGGTAGAGAGGCTCATAAAGAAGTTGGCAATGTGGAAGAGAAATTATATATCCATGGGGGGAAGAATCACCTTGATAAAATCAACCCTAGCAAACCTACCCACTTATTTCCTCTCCACCTTTGTGATCCCGATGAAAATAGCTAGGAAGTTGGAGAAGATTATGAGGACTTTTTGTGGGAACTAGGTGATGAAAAGAAAGATCATTTAGTGAAGTGGGAGCAAGTTTGTTACCCTAAGGAGCAGGGTGGATTAGGTATAGGGAACCTATTAAAGAAAAACAAGGCCCTTCTAGGTAAATGGCTGTGAAGATTCCCTTGTGAAGGAGAAAGGTTGTGGTACAGGGTAATTAAAAGCTTACATGGCAAAGCAGATAATGGCTGGGATGCAAAACCAGCCCCCCAATGCAGCTCCATTTTCTCCCTGGAAGGCAATCTTTGAGGTATATCCAACCTTTCTTCAATTTATCAGGTTTGATGTTGGTTGTGGCAACAAAGTTTTATTCTGGGAAGACCTTTGGGTTGGGGATGTGCCTCTTATGATCAAAATTCCCAGACCTCTACTCCTTATCAAACCATAAAAACAACCATGTTGTTAGGTTTGGTGTGCTTTCAGATTCAGGGATCTCTTGGGATTTTTGTTTCAGAAGAGGGTTGAGGGAAAATGAGTGTGAGTCTCTGGTGCTTTTGATTTCAACACTTGAGAGGGTCTACTTGGACCATTCTATAGCTGATTGTAGAGTTTGGTCCCCAACTTCTGATGGTTTATTTTCCTATGCATCTTTATTTGGTTTGCTCACTCACATTGATCATATGGAGGTAAACTTCCCAGTGAGAGAAATCAGGTCTAAACCGATTCCTCCAAAAGTACAAGCTTTCTGTTGGGAAATGTTCCTAGGGAAGGTAAACACTTGTGATGTGCTACAGAAAAGGCTCCCAAATTCCTTCGGGATTGAAAACAACAGTTCGAAGTTATTGCATTATTAAGATGTTTTTGCCATATTTCATGAAGTTATTGCATTTCATTGCTATTATTAGGATGAAATTAAATTGGACTGCATACCAAAGAAGAAACAGTACAAAATTAAAAGCCGGAAACAGATTTAGCTAATTCATCCACAGTTAGGTTCAGAAACATCAATTCGGTAGCCCATAAATGCATGCCAACAAACATAACTACACAACAAAATGTATAAATGAAAAGTGAAAATATCCAGAAGTCAGGCAATCTATTCCTGAGTAGAAATTAAGAAATGAGAAGAGAAACGGAAAAAATAGATGTGATTGATGCTTCCTAAGCTAACAATCCGTAGTTCCAAGAGTAGGAATATAACCTTCGGTTGAATAACATCAAAGTTTTTAAACGAGCATCTCTTTCCAGTTCCTTCAAGCTTTTCTTTCATTAAGCAGCTGAAATCATTAGCTCCACAGCAGAAATCCACAATCTGTCAAAAGGAACAAGTAGCACTGAGGGAGTCCAAAACAGGCAAAATAATGATACATGAAACATTGTTTGCATAATGTTCAGCTAACCTTGAGCTAAACCTAAATCAATTTAAAATCGACCAAACATTGAACCAGTGGTTAACAGTTAGGCAAATGAAACTGTGGACATCCAAATATAAAAAGAACAGACCAAGATATGAAAAGAAAAAACAAAGTAGTAAAACAAATAAAAATAACAACAACAACAACAACATTCAGCAGTAGCTAGACTGAACTCACTCTTTTTACATTTTTTTCCAAAAAATAATGTGCTCTGTGTTTACCCCTCTCTAGCTAGTGAGTCAATCAATTCATACCAATCTCTGAATCCAGCTGAAACTAGGGTTAAGATTTCTTAAGAGCTGCCTGATTTCCCTCACCATTTGTCTAAACAACTCAGTGTTTTAAAAGCGCAAGGCGCAAGGGCCAATTTGCGCCTGAGGCGCATGCCTTTTTGAAGCAAGGCGCAAAATTACAAAAAAAAAAAAAGCTAAAAATTAAAAAACAAATGTCAGAAAATTCAAATAATGCCAAAAAATTCAAAAAAATGCAGTAGAAAAAAAAATATTAATAAGAAATATAAAGTTAAAATTTAAAATTAATGTTTTAAAAAACCTATTATCTAAAACCAAAATACATAAACATAACATGTAAAGCATATTCAAATGAAAAATTAAAAATAAAATAAAAAATATAAAACATTTTCAAGCATGTAAAGCCCACACTCTTTTTTATCCTCAATTGCATTACTTCAAGTAGCTAATATGATGTAAAACATATTACATTCCTAATTCTACAAGTTGCCTTTGAGCCACGCCCCTCGAGGCAAGCCCAAACAAGTCCATGTTAGGGTTTTAATTCTCACACAAAAAATAATTATTTTATAATTTTATTTGCCTTTTAAGAAGATATTTTGCCCAAACAAGTCCATGTGAGAATTAAGAATTTAAGACCCTAACATGGACTTCTTTGGGCTTGCCTCAAGGGGCGTGGTTGGGGGTCCAAGGGTGGAGCCCCTGGCCCAGCCGATAGGTTCAAAAAAAGAACAAAAGCATAAAACTTTCAAAAGGCGCACACCTGGGCTAAGGCACAAGGCGCATCAAGCACACCAAGCATGCGCCTTTTGAAATTGTTGCTCCTAGGACCTCAACAAGGCGTCTACCCTAAAATGTGCCTCACCTAGACGCGCTTGAGGCACAAGTGCACCTTTTAAATCACTAAAACAACTAGGGGCCTAGCCTATTGGTTTGCAACCATCTTATGTCTAGGGATGGCCATTTTAAAATTATTTTACACAAAATACTATTAATTAAAAATTTTGGGGATTAAAGTCCTGATCAAAGATGGAGGAAAACTTTTACCCCCGATGGGGATCGGGGTTGGGGATGGGGAATATGATCCCCACCCCAAACCGCCCTATTTCCATTCCTACTTATGACAATCCTTGAAAAACCTTCTACAAGGAGATTTTTAATGTTGAGTGGCCTGTTGTGTCCCCAACCTCGTTTTAAAAGCACAAGGGGCTTTTCATGCCCAAGGTGCAAGGCAAGGAATGGCACTTTTTTCAAGCAATGCACACAATTTTTTAAAATTTCAAAAAACACAACAATATAAAACAATTGCAAAGTGAATGTAAAATTCAAATTTATAAAAATAAATTTTATTGGCTCAAATTAAGATAAATAAACATAACATATGAAACATATTCAAAGTGAATGTAAAATTCAAATCAAACATGGCATATAAAACATATTCAAACATGTGAAACCTTCAATGTCTTAAAATGTGTTCCTAATTACTTTAAAGAGCTAATGTATTCCTAATTATACAAGGCACCTTTGTACCAAGCCCCTTGAGGCAACCCCAAACAAGTCGTTATTAGGATCTTAAATTTTTTACCTGTACATAAAATATTTGTTTTGTGATTGTAATTATAGTTCCCTCTCTTTTGAAAAATTTATTGTATTAAATGCCTTGAAATGTGCCTCACCCCTGGCAACTAGGCATGTTTTTTAGATCACCGCTCAAACCTAACAATAAAGCTTCGTCTCCTCTCACTAAGTTCACTTGGTATATTCCACATTTTAAAATATTGCCCTTTATCCAACAAACTTCTACTGAAAGAAATTCATTATACCCTTGTCTATAAATAAAGACCCTCAAATTTGATATTTTTTTCTCAACCACAGATACATTGGTGAAACGCAGAATCATCCAGTTGTATTCGACAAAAATCATCAGGATTAGTAACCCCTTTTTTCTGGAATTAAGGAAATGAATATTGCATACATGTCTTTTCTTATTCTATCCTTCAGTGAGATTCTTTGAAAACATCATCAGCTACCATTTTTCATAAGACTATAGTCGGATTGCATTCTGATCAGATCCAGCCACATCTGGCCCAATCTGATTATTTAAAACGTAAATCCCAATCCTATTCAAGGGGTTTCAAAATGGTTTCAGATCCAATCGGATATCAGATCTTTGTCATATTCAATTCAAGTCAAATTCTTTATTTTTAAAACATAGAAACATGAAAATAACTTAATAATTTTGTTAAATATAAACAGTAAGATAAAAATCTGACATCCCAGAGGTTGAGATGACCAGGTTATAAGAATACATCAATGAGTGCTCCCATTCCCACAAAAAAAATGTTCCACTTACCACCTTTTGTTTGGCCAAACCATTAGATGACTCGTGCACCCAATGCATGCTAACCACCCTGTCTCTTTTATGCTCTCCTGTTACTTCTACGGGTGAGCATTCGGTTTATTCGGTTAAAAACCGAACCGAATAAACCAAAATAACCAAAACCAAATTTGTTGTCAGTTTTCGATTTTTTTGGTTAAAACCGAATTTTAATAATATATACTCTATTATATAATATTATAACATATAATATATATTATGAAACCAAATTAGCCAAAAACCGAATTAACCAAACCGATTTAACAAAAAATTGAAAAACCGAACCAAAAAACCAAAACCAAAATTTTCGAATCGGTTTTAACCGAATAGTGCTCACCCCTAGTTTCTTCATTAGGTTCTTAGACATCCAAGGACACCTATCTTCATCCTGAACCCATCCCACCACCATTTTGGAATCCCCCCCAACTAACATATTTGTATAATTCTTGCTTTTTGCCACCCGTAAACCATGCACTGCTAGCATTTCAGCCCTTACTAAATTGCCATGGCCTGATGGTCCTTAAGAGATTGTTAGGATGTCACCATGGTTGTTGCTGAATACACCTCCAATTCCAGGTGGACCCATATTACTCCTGAACTACGTTTAATATAGCGAGTTGGAGGGGATTCCTATTGAGAATTGGCCAAAAAAAATAAATTTTTATAGATATAAATACTGAATTATTAATTATAAACTTTATATAGTTATATATTACCATATATACATGTATAAATATATTTTTTTATGAATGATACATATAATTACAATAAGTATATTATAAAACTTAATCAGAGTGGATGTGATCAACCAATCTGATTATTAAATGATGCAAATTTCAAAACCTGAATCCAATCCAATTATGTAAATGGACTGTCCAATCTGAAAATTTGGAATAGGATGTCAGATTCAGACTTTTGTCAACCCTTATTATGTAGTCTGAACATCTTTGACAAACAGTCATAAAGAAACCTTAGGGTCCTAGGATGGCCAATCTAATCTCACCTCTTCCAAAGGCCTCTCCAGCCACTTTTTATCAATAACCGAAGCCTCCCCAGCCACATTCCCAACTCAGAAGTTGCTCTATACCAAACAATTTGCTCCAAGGAGGATATGGGAAAAACAGGTGTAGAAAGTATAGGCTGAAACCCATACATAATCACCTCAATCTCATCATGGTAACAGGTTTAAACCAGTGTTTTAAAACGTGGAGGCGTGACGCGGGGCGTTCCACTATCTAGAGGCATGAGGCGTAGTTCAGAACACAAGGCGTAAGCCTCCAGAACACATGGAGGCATAAGCCTCCTTAAGAAGAGGAGGGTTAGGATGAGGATGAAGAGAAAGGGGGTATCTCATTTTTTTTCTTTATTTTTAATAAAAATCTTTTATATAAGAAGAACAAAGATGCATAACATTAGTTGAAAGGGGGGGCAGGGGGAAAACCACTTTCTTTCCCCTTATCTTTTCTTCCCTTTTCTTTCCTTTCCTTTTCTTTTCTCTTCTTCTTCTCTTTCTTTTTATTTCCCTTCTCTTTCCTTTCCTTTCCTTTTCTTTTCTCTTCTTCTCTTTCTTTTTATTTCCCTTCCTTTTCCTTTCCTTTTTTTTTGATGAATTTTCTTTTCTTTTCCTATCCTTTCCTTTCCTTTTTTTTCTTTTTTTGTCTTTTTATATCAGATGTGCATGAGGCATACGCCTCTAGCATGCCTCAAGTAAAAAGCGCAAGAGGCGTATGCCTCAGAGGTGTCAGCACCTCTGGCATACACCTCAGGGCGTTTTGGGAGCGCCTTGCCTGGAGGTGTGCCTCCAGGCGTACGCCTCCCACGCCTTTTAAAACACTGGTTTAAACAAAATCTTGTTTCCAAGTTATTTTCTTTTCTCTTATTATTTCCAAAAATTAAAAACAAAAAGCCTTGCTCTGCTTTTACTAACATGACCATACCTACATCATTCATTCATATACATAAATCAGTAACTGATAGAATCTAATGAATCATAGAAATATATAGCACAAAGTCAGAATTAAAGTGATCTTAATATATAAGAGGCACAAGTTATTAAAAAAGATTCTAATCTTAAGTTCCAACATTTCAAGTCATTAGGAAGAATATTACCTACATGATTTTAACCTTACTGCACACCTAGCATTACTCTAAAAACTGATTGTTGTACAAGTTCTTACCATGTCACCATTTTGAACATACCAGTGGAGCTTGTCGACAATCTGCACATTATTGGCTCATCATTAATTACCCAAAACATGAAACAATTGCTTGCCAGTTTTATCAAAGCAAAAGGTTACAAAAAGCATACCAACTGGAGAAATGAAGAACAAGTTTGAAGTTTTTTTTTCCAATTTTAATGATCATACAGAAAATCATCTGCCCATAAGGAGGCTTTAAGAAACGAACAAAAAACCTAGACCAAGAAGAACCCAAAGGCAACACCCTAGAGTTGGCCAAATCATTAATGGGAAATTCAAAAGCAACCTAATAGAGTGTGTACAATCTGAACATGAAAACACCCTCTCTTAGAATAATGATGAACCATAGTAATCACAAGCACCATTGCCCCAAGAAATGCTGCTAGTTCCAGTGTGAAAGGTTCAAGTCTGAGACAGTTATGTTATGTCAAGTTGTCAACCTTTGACATAAGCAAGGTCTAGAACACAACACATATATCATACTATAAAAAAACATCTCATGCACAAGTGTCAGGCGCAATACCTAACTAATACAACACCAAATACTGCATGGACACTTCTAAGTATACACTAGTACACTACAATATTTAACGCATTAAAGAGATTTTGAAACCCCTGTTTAAAACATGATATGAGCATATAAAGTGGGATTTACCGCATCCTAAACCCTGATTGTAGGAAATGGAAAGGTATTTCCACATCTGTGTTCTTGTGAGCATCCAAATTTGGGCATTATAAGTTTAAATAGGCTTTGTACATCTAAAATATGTCTCAGTCTAGTAAAGGTTTAAAACAAGATACCTTGACAAAAATTGAAGATACAAGGAAATAACAAAGTACAATATTATGTCAGTAGGTCTTAATCATATTGACTTGCTCTGAGAGAAGATAAAAAATCACTCGTATGAACCATGTAAATGCAACCCACATACCTCTTTAAGCTTGTCCACCTTTGTAAAATGGCGACCAAAGGATGTATAACGCATACCATAAAGAAAAGGTGCAAGGTAAACTCTGAGTTTGTTCTACAGCAGGATAAAAGCAATTAGTATACATTCACTATACAGAATAAGAATATCATCATTTATTTCTAGTTTGATCTGTGGTTTCAGCTTCAAGAAAACAAAATTTTAGTATTTTCAACTTCCTCTTCCAAAAAATGGAACAGATATCAAAATAGCCAAAATGCTAATATTGAAGGAACATTTTACCCTTCGTAAGAGTTTCATAAGCTGTAACAGTGTAGAACAATATGACAAAATAAATTAAAAAGAATACACATAATTGAAACAGAGTCTAAGTTAAAGATAGCAACCATACACGAGAACAAGAAAATATTATCAAATAAGCAACCAATCATGCAATTTGCTTATGAAAATGAAGGCTATTGATGCATATTTAGAATAAACTATTTATTTTATTTCTTACAAGTTATTAGTCAACTTAACAAAAGGTGTAAAATGTGTTTTTTTACATCTGACAGTGATGCATATTTAGACCAGACATTGTAATCATGTGCATATCAGCTGGTTAGCGGTTAGTATACAGCGCTCATATCAGAATATAGAATGACTTAAATCTCCCACAATGAAAAGGAAAAACGGGAAAAGAACACTAATGTAGCGCATTAAAGAACAATATAAAGGTCTCCTGCTGGTTGCAGCGGGGACTTGGGATCGAATCCCGCCTGCACCTGGGTTGGAGGATGGGCTACTCCCCCCCCCCCTCCCCCGGTTGTGTAGCCCTTCAAAAGATATAAAAAAAAAGAACAATATACAATCACTGTGGAAAAGAGAATATATGAAAGGAATATAGGCTCTATATCTTTGCTGGGCTTCTATCCCACCAGCAGTGCTTTGGGCTGTGTGGTCAGAAAGAAAAAGAAGGATGTTTGAAAACAAATCCACTTCTGAAGCCACGGTCATCAATTCAGCCATAGATGCCATTAGGAGCTGGTTGTCGATACATGCTGGATTCAAATATTTTACATCTGATTATACTTTTATTAGAGTGGCCATATTTTGAGGTCCTTTTACAGGACCAGTTATTAATACAATCATACTTTACCTTCTTTCAAATAAATATAGGCTCTATATCTTACCAAAAATAGGTAGAAACAATAGTAATGATACAAGTAAAATTAGTTAACATGAAAATGGAAATCACCTTCCACTTGATTATCTGAACTAAGATTTCTGGTTCACAAACATCTTTTACATCCTCCAAGCTGCATCCTTCCTCTAGCTTCTGCAAAGCTGTTCGAACAGCCTACATATATAAGAAGCCACTACAATTAAAACATCAAGAGGAATGCCATCACCAATAACAGAAACATTGCAAATATGTAGAAATTGAGGTAATTAGAATAGCAACTACTATAATTTTAAAAACTATAGAAAATGACAAGATATAATAGCTTTTCAAACTAAGCATTATATAAGAACTACCTCAACAGAACCCTCCACCTTTCCCATTGTAATGGTCTTGTCAACAATGTTTCTGGATGAGTATGCATGTGTTGAAGGTGCTTTATGTTTTTGCATAATCTTCTCCAAGGATATTGAAGAAGAAGAACTTTTCATTAAATCCAATATTCTGCAATTCGACAAACAAGATTAAGAAAAGAATGGAGTTCAACTTCTATTAATTACAGTTTTAGATGCACAAACACACAGAGAAAGGGGAAGAGAGAGGCAACAAGCACGCTACACCAATGAAAAGAGAGACTAGTCAGATAAGGAAAAGAAGACATGCACACCACCTCTTTTCTGCTTCAGCATCCAATGAAAACAGTGAACTGACAGATTTCTTCAAAACAGGCTTAGTAGTCGTAGTCTCACCAAACTTGGTTGCCTTTTGTGTGTCCTGTTGGTTGGGCTTAACATGTTTCAACTCTTTATTCAGTACTGATTTTAATTTCTCCTCTCCTGAAGATATCTTGCTTTCATCTACTGTCTGGGATCTGTCTAATTTCATTGAAACAGGCTTCAAATTGTCCTTTGAAGTATTTCTAGAGGCATCAGTCGTTTTTGGAATCTTTGAGAAATCAAATCCTTGTCCTTTTTTGGAAGAGTCACGATCTTTTACTGCAGAAACTTTTGGTGTTTTCACTGTAGTTCCTTCTCTAGTGGCATCCTGAAGAACCAAACCCCTTTTCACCACAAACTTTTCTTTGGTTGATTGCAACTCTGAAGGATGTTTTTTCTTCTTCACTTCAACATCAGGAAATATAATGTGATTTCTTATGGGAGTTCCAAGTTCTTCATCAATGTCATGCTTCCTGGTCAAAAGAATTGTTCATGTTAATGTTGACAATTTACAGGGGATAAATAGCAAAAACAGTAACATAAAAATGGAAACTCACAAGCAGTATATCAAGATACGATTTGGGAGGAGATCCTCCCATGCCCTTTGTATGATGTCATCATCCTCTGAATCTTCAAATGCAATCTCCCTGGTAAGATTTTCAAAGAATTGGTGAGATCGACAACTCCACACACTATAACCCTTGCTTTTAGACTCTAGGTAGAAAAATGCCACACAACAAATAGTACCTAGGCAAGCATTTCCTGTGGTATGATGTAGGACAACGTCTACATACTGCAAGCTGCAATTCAGGGTCATCCTTATTCTCTCTTTCCTTACAGACAAAACATTTATGGACGGGGCATGTAAATGATTTCCCTGAAGCTATTACTTCCTGCAGCTCCTCAGCAGCAGCTTTGTTCCCTTTATGGAGTAGTTTTGCAACACATTCCGGATGATAAAAATGTCCACAAGTCGCATTAGCACAACAAAATACCTGTAAACAACTGGTGAACTGTTATGCAGAAATATGAAAAAAGAAACATGGTACAAGTATATACAAAGTGCTGTTTTTTTATCAGTAACAGAAATCCTTATTGAATTCAAATAAGAATAAATTACAGAAAGCAGAAGGAGGTAAACTATCTTAACTCCCCCAAAACAAAGAAAAGAAAAACTACAAAGTTCAAAATAAGCCCAAAATAAAGAATCCCTATTCACCCCTTGCTTAGCTAGCCCATCAGCAAAGGAAATTGCAGTTCTTTTCACCCAGATGTACTTTATCTCAACATCCCTTGCCAACCAGTTGAGCTTTTTCCTCTCATTGTTGTATTTCCACATTCTAGTCTTATCTTCCTTTAACCAATTTACCACTACCTCCGAATCACCTTCAATAGTCAGTCTCCTAATAATCAAGTCTCTTGCCCTTTGAATCCCTTCCAAGGCTTCTAAAATCTCAGCCCTAAGAAAGTCACCCTCACCAATCAGGCAGAGAAAAGGGCCAATTTCTGAAAATTCCCCCAATACCTGATAGCCCTAGATTCCCAATGCTACTGCCATCAAAATTCAGCTTTATATAACCAACAGGAGGGGGAATCCAAGAAGGATTTATGACCCTTTTAACCTGGGAAGGTCCAGGGATTTCAACCAATGTGCTACTCCTGTGTGGATCATCTCTGTTAAGTTCTCAGCATTCCTCTCCTTATCTAAAAATAACCTCGAGTTTCTTTCTTCCCACAAAAACCAACACACAGCTGCCCTTATATACTCTTGTGCTACTCTTGTGTGGATCATCTCTGTTAAGTTCTCAGCATTTCTCTCCTTATCTAAAAATAGCCTGGAGTTTCTTTCTTCCCACAAAGACCAACACACAGCTGCCCTTGTACTCCTCCACATTATCCTTCCTCTTTTCACTAGCCAATGAAGAAATATGGAGAGAACAAACTCTGTACATTCAAAGGAGGGTTCCAACCACACCCAAAAAGGGATAAAACCCAATCTCAAACAACTTTTGCATGATGGCAAGACACTGATAAGTGGTACCCATTCTACCCATTTGCTTTGCAAAGAATACACCTATGTGGGGATAAACACGTCTTGGGTCTTTTTCTTTGAAGAAGATTACAAGTATTGATTCATTCCGAGAAAGATTCCCAACAAAAACTCCCAACCAGAGGAGGGATAGGTTTGAACCATATCTCTTTAACAAGGAAAGACATGCCAAGGGAGGTAGGTTGCTGAGTTAGGCTTTTAAAGAAAGAAGCATAAGAGTAAGAGACCGAGGGGGAGGGGGTCCAAATTCTACAATCTTCCTTTTGGGGGTCCATAAAAACATTTTCAAGCAATGCTAGAAGGGACATAGTGTTTTCTAAATCTGTATCCCTAACCGCTCATAACCAGAGATTGCATCTGAGAGGACTAAAAAAAATGAAATGGGCATATTCTTTAGATCAGAAAGAACATACAAAGAGGGGTGAATCATCAAAGGAGAGTTCCCTACCCAAGTTGGTTCCCAGAATTTGATAAGGTTACCTGAGTTCAGGTCATACCTGGTCCACTAGGAGAAAACTGGAAGAAGGTTATGGATGGCTTTCCAAGGAGATGTGCTTGTAGTCCTTGACATGATTCCGGTATCCCAGCCATGTCCTCCATCCCATGAATGCTAGCCACTATCTTTGCCCACAATTTATCCCTTTCTAAATGAAATCTCCATAACCACTTCCCCAATAATGCCAAATTACTTTTCCTAATATTCCAAATCCCCAATCCTCCTTGTTTCTTGCTTCTTGTTACCACCCCCCATCCCACCCTATGGTCCTTCCTTTCCTCTCCTGGCTCCTACAGAAAATCCCTCATCAACCGTTCCAACCAATTAGCTACTTGAGAGGGCATCTTAAATCTCTCCACCACTGGGTCCCAAAAACTTCCTTTCCTAGGGTTATCTCCTAGGGGCAAGCCCAAGTAACTCGTTGGCCAATCTAAGGTTGTGCATCCCATAATATCTACAAACTCCCTAACTTCCCTTTCCTCCATGTTTACTCCCACAGTCCCACTAAACAACTTTTCTCAAAATTCTCCTTAAGATTAGACATATGCTGAAAAGGTTGTATAACCAGTTTCAAACTTCCTATCCAATTCATATTCCCACCTTCACAAAACAATGTTGTATCATCTGCAAATTACAAGTGTGTGAGTGGTATCTCCTCGCTTCCTAATCTTCACCCCTTAACAGATTTCTTGAGTCAGCTCTATGAATCAATCTCCCTAAAACATCTGCAATCAATATAAACAAGAAGGGACAAAGTGGACCTCCTTGTCTTATCCCTCTCAATGCTAGGAAAAAGTCCACCACCATCCCATTTACCAACAATGAGTAATGACAACTCCTCAGACACCCCCTTACCCAATTACACCATCTGTCCCCTAAACCAAAGTTACTCATAACTTTTTTTGAATCAATAACAGAGATTTCATTAAATGATTAAAGGCTGAAAATACATAGAAAAGGAGCTAAAATAGCTTAACTTCCTATAATTGTCACAAGACACCCAAAAAACAAAACCAATTACAGATGAGCCCAAAAAACAAAACGCATATTCACCCCTTGTCTAGATAAGCCATTTGCAAAAGAGTTTGCACTTCTCTTTATCCATGTGCATTGAACTTTCATGTCTTTGGTAAACCATTTAAATTTCCTCTTTTCATTGCTATAGCACCATAATCCTGAGCTGTGTCCTTTTAACCAGTTTATTACACTCTTAGAGTCTCCTTCTATGACCAGCTTGTTTATGTGCAAATCCTTAGCCCTTTGAATCCCTTCCAAAAAGCTGCTAAAATCTCAGCCCTCAAAGAGTTTCCTATTCCAATTGGCCCAGAAAATATGGCTACCACATTCCCTTTTCATCCCTCATGACTCTCCCCAATTCCAGAGGGCCTTGGATTGCCCATACTGCTATCGTCAAAATTCAGTTTGGCAAAACCAAGAGGTGGGGGGTCCAGTAAGAGCTTGAGACCTACCTAGCTGAACCTGAATCTGCAATTTCCTTGCAGTTCCTAAGCAGGTCATCTACTGAAATTTCTGCAAATAGGTCCAAAGTCTTCAACCAATGAGTTACCCTTACATGAATCACTTCCATCACTGCTTCCATAGTCTCTCCTTCTCTGAGAAGATTCTTAAGTTCCTTTCTTCCCACATAAACCAACAACTGCAGCCCTAACACATCTCCACATTATCTTTGCCCTTTTGGTTGGTCGGTTAGAAGGAAAGGAGGTAAACAAGCTTTGCACAGTCGTTGGAGAGTGTTGAGCAAGAGCAAGAGAAGAGAGGAGAGGAGAAGAGAGAAGAGAGGAGAGTCGAGTGGACTGAAAGCCCTCCAGAATACAGGGGGCGAGTGAAAGAGTTATTATTTATACTAGCCCAGTCGTACAATATAAACAAGAGAGAAATTACAACAGTACCCTTGTGGTACTAAACTTGAGTACACAAACAACTGTCAACACTCCCCCTCAAGTTGGAGCATAGATATCAATCATGCCCAACTTGTCACAAAGATCATGATGYCTGGAAAGATTTAAACCCTTTGTAAAGATGTCTGCAAGCTGGTTCTCAGAAGTGACATAGGGAGTACACACTTCACCTGTGATAACTTTCTCTTTGATAAAATGCTTGTCAACT